TAAAAAAAAAAAAGAGCAATAAATCCTATTTTTTTTAATAGTGTTCATTGTACAATGAACAAAAAAATCTTTTTTCTTCTCTTAAAAAAAATGAATTGGAATTGTAACCGGATATGTTTGGTGTTTGTGAGAACCCCTTGAATCACTACATTACTTGATTTAAAGGGTTCTCGGCGGTTTATGCGAAGTTTTCTTATACTTTCTTATATATATATATATGTTACTATGTTTGTATTTGTCAGGCCCTTTACTCACTTTAATTCAATTAGATGTAAATGAACCATAACTATGTAGTCCTATTCCTAATAGATTGATCCCAAAATAACATATCCAAATTATAAGAAAGCCTATAGAGGCCACTATTGAAGAATTTACACCTTCCCATTTTTTTTTTTTTCTAGTATGTAAATAAATCGCGAATATGGTCCACGTAATAAACGCCCAAGTTTCCTTTGGATCCCAATTCCAATAGGATCCCCAGGCCTCATTAGCCCATACTGCTCCCGAAAGAATACCTATGGTTAAAAAGAGAAAACCTAGACTAATAATACGATAACTCCAACGATCCAATTGTTGAATAAATTGAAACCTGTAATAATTTCTATAAGAAGAAAAAGAAGTGTTTTGTAAAACATTGTTTCTTTCGTTCATGTATTTGATCTCAGCAAAAGAAAATGACTCATTAAAAAAAAAATTCTTGTTCTTACCAATATTTCTTATTATTACTTTTTGAAATGTAATGACTAAAAGAGCTACTGATAATAATGATCCACATAAAAGAGCTGCATAGCCCAATACCATCATACTTACGTGCATCATTAACCAATGCGATTGCAGAGCGGGTACTAATATAGCGGATTCATGCATTTCGGTTAAAAGCCCCGAAGTAGCAAAGCCTTGGGTAAAAATAATACTTGGTGCGATTATTGTGCTTAAATAGTTTTTAAGCTTTTTAAAACCAAAAACCGGAACTATATGAAAAATGGAAAAACCCCATGAAAGAAAGATTATTGATTCATATAAATCACTTAATGGTAAATGTCCCGAAAAAATCCAACGAGTAACTAATAATCCTGTTATACAGAAAAAAGTTACTATCATGCCTTTTTCGGACGAATCATATAGTACTACGATTTCATTGACTAATAAGGTTATCAAACGAATTGCAATTACAATTGATACGACCGAAAACGATATATGAGTTAATATATGCTCTAAAGTTGAAAATATCATAAAATGAATAAAAATAAATCTCCTAATTATATGAATGGAAATCGGGAATTGAATTCATTATAGGACTTACTCTTTTAGAAAATAAGATGCCATGCCGCCACTCGGACTCGAACCGAGATGCTCTAGCACTGCTTCCTAAGAGCAGCGTGTCTACCGATTTCACCATAGCGGCTTGCTCGAAATCATAATAACCGATTTTTAGTCAATCGTCGAGATTGAAAGAGTCGATTCAAATGCAATATTTGTTTACTAAATTGAATAAATTGAATATTTAGTAAACAAATATTGCATTTGAAAAACAGAAAATTAAAGAATAAAAAAAAGCCAATTCCAAAATGGGGTCAATCTTATATTGAACAGTTCAAAACATTAGCAAATAGAAATTCTTACTTATATCTTATTTTTTTTTAGTTTGTATAAAAATATCTATAAAATATATAAACTAAAAAAAAACTATAAATAATATAAAAGAGCAAAAAACCAATAATAATAATCATAAAAAAATTTCAAGATATATACGAAACTATTCTTTGAAATTAGACTATTCTTTGAGTCCAGCTAATTTCGATTATTCCAATGTTTGTATTTGTTGCACAAAAAAACTTTTTGAGGTCCCCGTAGAAAGAGATTTCCCTAACGAAAAAGCTTTCCATGCTGCCCAATATCCCTTCTCCT